GTTTCTCCAATTGATTCCTTTCAGGTTTTTCAAGTATATAATTGTCCTGTCTTTCAGTGATGGTGTTTTTATTCACCTTTTCCAGTTTCTCACTTCTTTTAGGATCATCTGTTCCAGTCTCTTTATTTTACAGTTGGGGATATTGAGACCCACAGAGAAGCCACCTATTCATCAATAGCTAGGCTCTGGGCTCATTGCCTGGAGCTCTCTCTGCCACTTCTGCCCCCTCACTCCCCTCCCTGGAAGCTTCATCTCACTCCTTGTTTTCCTTTGCCCATCATTTTCATAGCTTCAGGCCCTCCTGCTACAAGGCGAGGAGGATGCTCACCCACCCTTCTGCAGGCTCTCCCTGCTGGCACTGCAGGGACCCCCAAGCTATCTCCTGCTGTCACCTCCCACCCCACAGACAGGTTTAGGTTCTGGGCCAGAGGCTGTTGGGAGCCCCAGTAGGGATGAGAGACAGCCAGGGAGAGGGAAGTTGACGGAAGTTCCTGGGCAGAATAATAACAATGTGCCACATTCTAGCTGTAGCAGTGCCTGCTGTGCCTCCCCCATCACTTTGCACGTGCGATGCAGACCAGTTGCCTAAGGGGCCTCCAGGGTCTGAGCCCCCATTTGCAGGCAGTGCTGTGTGCAGGCGGGTGCACGTTGGTGTCTGTGTAATTAAAAATGAGCATGCCTCACTTCACCCAGTGAGGAGATGCCACCACCTCGGGTGGGATGCAACAGCTGTTCGCTGGCATTGTAGCTGCCCAGCTGTCCAGGCTGGAATGGAGGGATGGGTAGGACTGGGCAGCTCAGGCTGAACAGGGAGGCCCAGAGCCCCTCACCCCAGTGAGGCAAAGGGATGTGATTGGGTAGAGACAACGGAGCAGAACTCCTCTTTTTCTGGGGCTCAAGTGCAAGTGGGAGATGTGTGACCCAATCCTTGGCCTGTACCCATTGCCTCATCCTTTTGGGGCTTTGAAGCCACTCTGAGAAGACCCAGAATCCAGGCAGGTTAGGAGTGGGATCCAACCTCAGTCTCCACCTGGACCTGACCTTTTCTGCCCCACACCCCCTTCCCACATCTAGCCAAAGCCAAGGGCATGGCTTGATTGGTGCCCAAATGAGAGTAGTTCAGGTCCTCTCTCACCGTCCTCCTCCCCTCTCCTGATGCAGTATGAACTACCAGGGGAAGCACTGTGGGTAGCATGGGGAAACCTTGGCCCACCATGCCCATCTAAGCCTCTGCAGGAGTTCTGAGCTGCATGGGCCAAAATCCTTGTCTTTCTCCTGCCCCTAGTAATGAGCTCAACCTCAGATGAGAAGGGAATATATTGTGTGTTTCCAAGGTAGCTGAGGCAGTGGCACCATGGCAGCCTGTGTACACTGTACCTTTCCTTGTCTACCAGCACCCATGGGGGGTGCTGAGCCCATGTCAGTGCAGCAGTAGTATTGGAGGAAGTGCTGTTGACTGAAGTCTCTTGGAAATCCCTGCATTGTGTGTGATGTTCCAGGCCCCCCTCTTGTTTCTGCTGTGGAAAGCCCAGGTGAGAGGTAAGCCTTGGAGATGTGTCTGAGGGACTAGAAGTCCTGAATCCAGTTTCTAGCAGTTCCTGGTGGCACATTAGCATAATGACTTTTTCCTATTAGGTGGGAAAGATTGTGGATGACTGCATCTCTCCCTCCAAGGAGAGAGACCTTGTGGTCCCCTTGATTCTGTGTGGGAATGAGTTGCTCGAGTTGTGGTATCAGATGGCCAGTGGCTTAAGTGGCCAGAGTAGGTTCCCCTGTCCTGATCATACTTCCTGGAGCCTCTGGCTATCTGGGCTGTGGGAGGGGGTGTGCCCAAGGCTGGAAGGATACCAGGCCCATCCAGGCCCCTTTCCCCAGCAGTACCAGTCAGTGTGGCATTGACTTGGTGTCCTTGGCCCTTGGCAGTCTGTTCTCTGAGGGCTCCCTGGGGCTAGCTGAGGGAGAGGCAGCTGGTCTTGCCTTTCTCCAATGATTTTCCAATATTTATCAGCTCATCGACATGCAGCCCAGACCACAGCTCCTGCTGTGTAGCAAGGACCTGAGAGCTGACCCATGGTTTACCCTCTCTTCCCTCAGAGGCTCTACCTGGCTGGGAGAGAAAGGGCTTGTCCTCTGCCTGATCATTTAGGGACAGGGCTTATGGCTAGTCCTGTCCCTCATCCCCCAGCCCCACTTGGGCTCATTATTGCTCTCGGGGCAGAACATGGAGGGGTCTTGAACAGAGGTGCAGGGACAACTCTAAACCCTTCTCTTGCTTATGGGCCAGAGTTGGAAGTTTGCACCTCTGCCTTCTTCCTGCTCCTGTCCTTTGCCCCGAGTCTGAATTTTGACAGGACCTGGCATGTGTTAAAATAATTTGAGGCTGAGCCGTCAATGAGATTTTTAATTAGCTCCCTGCCTCCTTCCACCAGGGAGGGCCAGGGGCCCCCAGGTGGTGGGGGGTGGATCAGGCTGGGCTTGGGTGGGAGGCTGCCTCTCCAGGGGCCTGGGGGCAGGCTTGGGCAGCTGGCACTCCTTGTGTGGGATGCTATAAGGAGGGAGAGCTGGGCAGGGAAGGAAGGGCTGTGTAGCCAGGCCAGTTCTCTCTCTCCCCTCTGTCTCCCCTGTTCCTCTGTTCTCCCCGATGGCTTTGAGATGAAGGCGATGGCAAGGATGGAGGATGCAGTTTCCATGGCAACGGGGCTGTCCACAGCCAGGCAACTTCAGAGCTGGGCTCTCCGGAGGAGGCAGATGCGCAGAGCAGCCGCAGAGCTGCCTCCCGCCTGCCAATGAGGGGGCTGGCAAAGTAGGTGGTAAGGGTACTGCCTGGTACTGCCCACCCTGATGCCCAGCCTAGAGGGGAGACTGAAAAAGGGACTACTCCTTATCATCCCTGTTACTTCCAGAAGGGAAGCCAGGCAGGTGGCTTGAGTGTTGACAAGGGTTGGCGTAGGATTCCACTGTCCCTGGAATTTCTTGGTGGGCACAGGCTCTTGTTCCTGGGAGCATCCCCCAAAGCCAAAATTCTGCATCCCTTGAGATACGGGCTACCAGCTAGCTGATGACCATGCAGCAGATTTCCTCTACACCTTTTGAATGCCCAGAGCATGGGCATGTTGGTGAAAGCTTATGCTCTAATAGATTTTGGGGGCCTTTTTCTTCCCTCTAGCTACCAGGGAAGGACTTGGACCTTCTTCAGGGAGCCCTGATGACCCTGGGCTTGGTGACATGGCATAGTTCACTGAGGGGACCTCAGGTTTGGCAGATGGTTGCTCCCCAGTGCTGGCATTAGAGTAACCCCCAGAGCCTAGACGCTCCTGCTTCCTGACGTCGTGTTCTTATTCATCCTCCTGAGGACTAGGGCTGAGTGAGTGTGTGGGCAGCTGGAGAAGCAGAGGCAGCCATCAGTGTGTGCGGAGATGGGAGGAGCTGGGCATGTGGACTCATGAGGTGGCATGAAGAGCACCCAGATTGGCAAAAATAATACTGGACTGAAGCTATTAAAAATAATGACTTTCCTTCACCGACCCTGAGGTGTTTGAGCACATGGAGACTTAGGGTGCAGGGCCTTGCCCGTGTTACTCATGGAGTCAGGCTAGCCAAGCTGCAGGTAGACCTTGGCCAGGCCAACTACCTCCCCTGTGGGCTCCTAGACATACCCTGTCCCCTGCTGGCTGCTAGACACCCTGGCTGATACTCCTTCCAGGTTCACTTTTCCTCTTCTCTTTCCTGGGATGAGGGGGTGGTCATTTTTACCCCTCTTCGCTGCTTTAATTGGAAGGAGTTCCTCAACCCTAATGTTGGCCAGGCAGGTGGACAAGTGGAGTCCTAGAGTGGCTTCTACCTCTCAGGCAGTAAGTCTTTCATTACCGCTAAGTGGAAGGCTCATTTCAGAGCTCATGGTGAGAGCCGGGCAGGTGCTATAAATAGTCGTGTTGTGAAGGTTGGTGGGTGAGAAGTGATAGGGCAGGGGCCTCACAGTCATCTTTGTGGGTAATTGCACTCCATGGCAGGAAAGGGGGCCAGGCTTGGGAACAATATGTGCTTGACCCCTGTTCTGAGTATTTCTGACTGCCTCAGTGCAGCTCTGACATGTGTCTGCCCCTTTCCACACACTTGGGGTGGGGAGAGCTTTGGGTTTTGTGTCCAGGCAGAGGGGAGTAGAGTGCCTGTCTCAGAACTTGGGGCCCTATAAACTGGTACCTTGGCCCCTGGAGAGCTGGGGTGATGTTCAGTGCTAGTTCTACTTGTCCAGCCTGCCCCTCCAGCCTAGGGTCTGCCTCTTTCCCCTTGGTTGAAACTCTGGGCAAGTGCTAGAAGGGGTGGGAACCAACCATATCTGGTAGCCTTGAAGGTTGGCATAGACCTGATCTGGTAGGGGAATGGGAGTGCAAGAGGGCTTTAGTTGGCCTGAAGCCCCTGTCCAGGGTTTGTAGGTAACATGTCTGCAACGGCAGGAGCTGGAAACCTAAGGCTCAGCGGCACTGGCCTTTCCTTCCTGATATCTCTGGGTCAGTCATCCTTGTCCAGGGTGGAGGGGAGGTCAGGGCCTGGGGATCCTGGGATGGGATATCTAGCAGGTCAGAACCTGACTTGGCTTGGGTGCTTGGGGCCACAGTTCATGGTGTCCCTGTCCCTAGGGTAGTCTTAAACTTCATGGCTCCTTGAGACCAGTGCTTTCTGGAACGGTATTTTGGTTGCAGACATACAGATAGGACCAGTGGTGCCAGGCCCCTGGATTCTTTTAGCACCTGCCACAGGGTATTGTCCCAAGGACTCCCATGTCCTTAGACCACTGCCTCCTGGAGTATGGAGCCCTGCCCTTAGGGTGCTCTGTGCGTGCCTCCCTCAGCAGGGGTTTTGCTTTTGGGGGAGATTGAGGCAGGAGACAGAGCCAGCCCCCTGGAAGGGAGTGCGCAATAGACAGTTCCTAAGGCCTCTAAGGGACAAGTGGGTCAGAAGCCATGTAGGGCTCATTCCACCTTTTGCCACTTTCCAACAAGGGGCGGAAGCTGTGTGCCCACCCTCGGCTAGAGATCTACCAGCAAGACCAGATCTATTTCATGTGCCCACTGGCACGGCAGGGAGACTTCTATGTGCCTGAGGTGAAGGAGACAGAGCGGAAAAGCCGAGGACCCACAGAGGCCAGTGACTCCCAGATGGATGGCACAGGTATGGATGATGAGGCCGTGTGTGGTGCCTCTCCCTGGACATGTGGGACATGGTGAGGAGGCTCCTCCATGACTGGGTTGGCACTGTGGGTGTCCAAGCTAAGCTTGGCAGAGGTGGAGGAAGGAGACCTGCCTACCCCAGGACCCATATGCAGAATTGTCTCTTTCCAGATACATGGATCCATGTAGATGTGGATTCACACGTTACCCCTGGCAACACAGATACAAAGACCCTGCCCAGATTCCCTTCAGATGCAATAGGGGGTGCCCTTGGAAACTGAGATCACAGACAGCTGGATGCTCATGGGAGGGGGATGAGGCTGTTCAGGGAAAAGCATCATTTGGGTGGAGCTCATCAGGAAGTAAGATTGGCACTAGATCTAGAAGGTACAGAGGGGAACAGAGTGTTCTCCTGTCTCTCAGTATGGGGCCCAACTAAGAGAAGGATGCTTTCTCCCTGCTGAAGAGCAACCAGAGAGCATGCAGAGGGCAGCTGGGAAATCAGTGCACTGCCCTTTTCACCAGAGCCAGCCTTCATATTCCAGGTCCAGACCAGCTGGTGGTTTGCCTGCTCTCAACCCTCCTCCCCTCTATCACCTCTATGACCCTGGCCTGTCCCCAGGAGCAAGGGGGCTTATTGGTAATATCCTAAGGGGTCCAGCCATTGTCCATGCTGGTGGAGCCTTGTGTGATTCCGGAGGCCTGTGACCTATGGGAATGGTACAGGGCTGGGAGAAGAGCAACTGTCCCTCTTTCTTTAGATTTCCTCTGCCCAGCCAGTCTTCCATAGCCAAGGTCACCCTAGAGAGGCGTATGTTGTAGCAGGGGGTGGGGGGATTGAGAGGCAGTCTCACTCCCTCACTCCCTAGAGGCCGTGTCCAACACAGTTAACTTCATCTGCCACTTAATTACCTCCATGGGGCACTGCTCCACCCGCCTCGTGGAGCCCGGCAGACATTCTTCAGTGCCCCTACTGTGGGCATAAGACATGGCACAAGGTCAGCAAGGCCAGACAGTCCCCAGGGAAGGAAGGGGGAGTGCCTTGACCTTCTTTCAACCTCCCACTACTGCTTGCACCCCCTGTCCTTGGCCCACCCACCCAGCTTCTCTCCCAAACACTGCCTGCCAGGGATGTTGAAGGACTGCTTGGCACACGCTACAGCTGGCTACAGCCGTGGCTCCCACGCCCCCAGTGCCTTGGCCTGTCCTCCCCACTAGCCTGCCCGCCTACTCCCTGGTGGGGGTGCTCAGGGGTCTGCCCACCTCTGACAGGGTCTGCTCTGACACCCAGGGCAAACTCTGAGCATGTGCCTGCCAGGTGCATGTCATTTGCGCAGCAGTGTGTGCTGGGTGCCTGGCTGCCCAAGGCTTGGCCTTCCCCTGCCTGCCTCCCCACTGGGGCCTCCGCTTGGGCTAGGAGGTGAAAGGGGGTGATTAGCTGCCTTATGCCTGTTATTACATTGATGTATTATTTAGCTCCAGAGAGGCAATGAATATTTGATCTCCCTGCACTGGCTGTGGGCAGTGGAGGAGGGAGGGACTGGGGTGAAGGTGGCAGCTTCATTCCCTGCCCCAGCAGCCCTAGAGACTTAGGTGCTATCTTTCCTTGCCAGGCCTCCTCTGCCCTGGGACACAGGCCCAAGACTCTGGAACTTCCTCTGGTGCAGACCTTGGTGGGGCTAGAAGGGTACCACTTCTCTGCCTTGGATTCATTTGCCAGAAGTGTCCATGTGTCCGCAGGGGCTGTCTTTATCCCAGAATACTGGACCCCAGCCTGAAGGGGCCTCCTTGGGCTTCTTCCTCTGATAACCCCTAGCCTAGGAGCTGGGAGAGGAAAGAGGAGGCAGCTGGCAGCTAAGTAGGCAGTTCCCATATCCAGATCCCAAGAGAGCCATTGGGTAGGTGGGCTGGTGGAACACGACAGTTTAAGGGGGCCTGGGAGCCCCATTTCATTTGCTCCTTTCAGGCCTGTAGCCCCTGGGACACTGATTATCATTTAGGGAGTGAATAAGGGGCTAGAGTCCTGCCCCAGAGTCAGAAGGAACCACCTATAACTCAGGATGTAACCCAGGCTCACTCTTGGATTTCTCCACTCTGGGAACCATGACTGGGACCTCAGTAAGAAGAGGGCCCTGGACCAGTAGCCTGGAACTTCCGGGGCCCACCTCTGACAGCTGGCCCAAAGGGCATCTTCTCAGGGTCAAGGGGACTGGAGAGCAGATCCCATACCCCCTATCCTTACGTTAGTCCCCATTTGATGCACAATGTAAGTTCCAGGCCGAGTCTAAATGCCAAGCATTCCCCAGCTGCTCCTGGCTTGGAGCTCCATCACCATGGAGACAGGATCTGCGGAAGCTGGCCCACCCTTCACCTCTGTGATGTTTGACAGCTGCCCCTCTCCCTCTCACATAGGAAGGGAGGCATATCAGCTTCCTCTCAATCTGGATTCTTACACAGCAGGCCTGAGCTCTTTGTCCCTCCTTGCCCCCCACCAACTGTTGTCACTGCCTCTGATCCGGGGAGATGAATTGAAGGGTTGCTCCTGGACAGGGAGGACATGTTAGGGGTAGGAGGAACAGGTTGGGAGGGATTGGACCCTCAGCCCTGTCTCAGGGTTCTCCAGCTGCCTGCTGAGTGCTCTCATGGTCCCCTTCTACTGCCTTGTGGCTCAGGAAACACCAGTCATTGGGGATAGTTAAGGACTCCTCTGGAGTGACCCATGCATATGGGAAGAAAGGCCTTAAAATGCTTTATCCCAGTACCCTCTTCCTTGCACCTGGTTTCCTAGGACTTCTCCATTCCACTCCTGCCCTAGCTGCTTCCTCAAATCACTGCTCTGTGGGCCAGAGGCTGAGACCAGCTGCCTTCCTGGATAGGGATTCTCCTTGGGGAACTCTGCATGGGGGAGGGGACAAGAGAGTAGGCCTCCTGGTCCATTCTCCCATCCTCATGCCTTATGGCCAATGTCTGTAGCTGGCCTTGAACAAACCTCTCTCCAAGCCTGAAATGGGGAGTGGAGGAGGGGACATTACTTGAGTCTCTTTGTTCTACCCTCAGCTCCGCACCTCGGGGCTGAGTGGTCCTTAATGGACTGTTGGGGACGGGGGGGGGGGGGGGGGGCAGCAGGCTTTGTGGGAGCACAGGGAGCTATGAGGCTTCCTCAGGGGAAGGAGAGGAGTGCACAGCAGACTGTCCTCCCCCACCCTCTCTTCCTTTGCCCTGTCAGTGCAGCCCTCCTCCGGGCAGAGGCCAGAGGCCAGAGGCCAGAGGCCAGCGGCCAGCTGCAATGAATCTCCTGAGCCAGGGCCTGCTTTATTGTTCATGAGCACACTATGTATGCTGGGTTGCTGAACAAGTGATAGGGCCTCTGTGCTTTCCCTGGAAGAAGGGAGGGGATGGGGATCCTAGCTAATGTGTACTCCCTCTTCCTGGTCCAGGAGCTGATACGATGAGTGACACGAGTTCTGTAAGCCTGGAGGTTGGTCCTGGCAGCCGGGAGACTTCAGCTGCCACACTGTCCCCTGGGGTGAGCAGCCGTGGCTGGGATGATGGTGACACCCGCAGTGAGCACAGCTATAGCGAGTCGGGCGCCAGTGGCTCATCCTTTGAGGAGCTGGACCTGGAAGGCGAAGGACCCATGGGAGAGTCAAGGCTGAGCCCTGAGGCTGAACCCTTAGGGGCTACCAAGTGGCCCCGGGAACCTAGTACCCCTGAGAAGGGTGAGGAGTAACCCTAGGTTTGCACCCTCCTGAGGTGCAGTCGATAAGGAACTGAGCAGACTCTTCAGCCCTCTTCCTCCTTCACCTCTCAGGCCCAGGCTGGGGCCTGGGGCCTGGGGCCTTAGGGGGACCTGACTTCCACTGCCCTGGGCTCTATCTAGTTAAGCCTTCTTACCACACTTTCAGCTCCCAGGGCCAAAGGAGCCAGGGACTGTATTCCGCACCCAGACCCCGGGGCTACTGCCCCTCTGACATCTTTTTTCAGATTCACATTGGAGCTTCCAGGACCAGAATAAAGCAAATGATTTTCTTGTTTCACCTGGATTTGAGCTGTGCATTTGTGTTTGTTTCACCTCGAGGAGTCCTATGCTGATAGGCTCAGAGTGAGCAGAAGTACCCCTAGCCTGAGGAGAGGAAGGAATATGGTAAGGTACTCCGGGGTGGGAGGAGGAAGAGGGTACCGAAGGCCCTCCACTCCCTGCTCTGGCTCCAGCTGACAGCTGCTCCTCTGTTGCAGCAGCCCCAAAGGCTCCCCCAGGCTGCCGGGAAACAGAGCAGGTCAAGGGGAGTGAGAGCCAAGCATGCGGTGCCCTTCAGGGCTCAGGAGTGGGGAGCTCATAGCCTGCCTTTGCTTCCAAGGGATGTCTTTGTGTCTGTAGCTCAAGTGTGCCTATGCTCATGCTGGTATCTAGTCAGCAGGCGAGGATATCCCTGCTGTGCCTCCCAGTTTCTGTGTACCTGTGTGTGTACCTGCACACACATGCACACATGCCTTTGACTCTCTGTGTGTGTAACCATGGATGAGTGTGCTCATGGTGGTCCCAGGTGAAGCTGTGCCCAAGCAGGCATTAGGATGTCATTGTGGCTGGATGTGGCTATATTTGTGTGGATGGCTATGTGGTTATGTGCACGTGGTGCTGTGCTTCACATGTCTTAACTATATGTGACGGTACTGACAGAGGTGTGAGACTGGCTATCTAGGAGCATCACTGTGGGGAGCTTTGTCCATATACATCTATCTGTGTGTAGCTGTGTATCTGTGTACAGTTGTATTGTGTGTTCACATGTAAAGCTATGTGCTTTTCTGTATGTCACGTTTAAAGCTATAGGTCAGTGCAGCTGTGTCTGTGAGTTTAGCCATATATGTGTAGGTATGTACCCATGTATGGCTATATGTATGTGATGGTGTGTCCATGTATACAGCTGTTTGTCTGCATGTAAAGTTATGTATTATGGCTGTGTGTACATCTATGCGTGTAGTTGCATGTACTTCTCTGTGTGTGGCCATGTCCATATATACAGCTCTGTAAGGCTGAGTGTCTTTGTGTGCACAGCTGGGAGTGGTGGCTGGATAGCTGGATACATACATTTGGGCATACATGCATGTCCGTGTGCATACAGCAGGACCGTGTTGGCCACTTCTGTGGGCCATGGGGACTGGTGCTGTGTTTAAAGACCTGTGTCTTTTGTGAGGCTCCCCTTAGTGAGGGGGCCGAGATTGCTGTGTGGTCCTCTCACCTCAGCACCCTGCTGCTATCAATCCCTCTGCTCCAAGGGCCCAGCTCATCACTCACCTATCCCAGGCAGCAGTTGCTTTGAACGAGCCAGAGAGAGTGAGAGCAACCAGAGCTCGAAGACAACGTATCTGTCTCTCCAGCCTTGTCTGACAGCTCTGAACCCTCATTCTGCTGTCACCTAACCTCCCATTAGCAATGGAGTTTGTGTTTGTTTAGGTTTGATGTGTTTCACAGCTGTGCTCTTTCCAGCCCACTGGGGTACCGGGTTTCTGTGTCCCGGGATAAAGTCTGTCCTTGGTAACACCCCCCCCCACTGACTGCCAAACACACATGTAGGTTCATGTGCCAGAGGGACCTGGGCTTGGCACATGCTCATTAGCATGTGTCTGAGCTAGCTTTGCCTCTGTTCACACCTGTGGAAGAAAGGGCAGTGCCAGCGGAGCAGACGTAGGGAATACTATATTCCTTAGCACCTAGTGTGTGTGCATGGCTTCATGCAGTCTCCAGGGCTAAATCTGGGTGTGGGACCCCTCCCCAAACCCTTCAGCACAATCACGGGCTTCAGCTTTATTCACCACCTTCTACCCATGGGGGCATCCTTCTCCATTCTGCTGCAGGAGGGAAGAAGAGTCAAGAGCATCTTCTCAGAGCTGTCCTCCCTCTGCTCGGGCTCCAGCTCCTGTTCCCTCCTACGCAGCAGCCAGTTTCAGGAGCCTCCTTCCCCCCCCCCCCGCCCCCTTCCCTCCCAGATCCCCTGCCAGTCCCAACATGTCCCTTAGGGTTGACCCTAGTCACTGGTCCTGTAGCACTCCCCACACACCCCAGGTTAGATATATCTTTCCTATAAATATTATTTGTACATGAGGGTGGGGATTAATGGAGGCTGGTGGAGGAGGAGGTCAGGGTTGGGTGTGTGTGTAGGGTAGATAGCTTTAAAGGTCATCTGCAGGAAGAGGAAGCCCCATTCTCCTCTGACCCCCCATCTTTTCTTCCTCCTAGTGACTCAGGCCTCAGCTCTCACATGGGGCCAAAGACACATGCCCATACCCCAGGCCTGGCATGTGGACTGATCTGTAGTCTGTGGATGCAAAGAATGGATGTGAGGGCAGGGACAGACTCGTCTTAGCAGGCTAAGCTCTCTACCTATCTCCCACATGCCCCCTTACCTGTCTCCCAGCGGTACCTTTGGACCCTAAGCCTAGCCCCTCCGCTCTCAAAGATGGAACCCCATAATACTGTGCGCACCTCCTGGGGTTCAGTGACCTTCCCGGCCCCATGTCCCGTGCTCGCTGCTCTGTGGGATGCAGTCTGACCGCGGGGTAGAGGGGGCAGATAGCCACGGAGCGCCCGAGGATTCAGCACCATGCGGTGGACAGCTCTGGGACTAAAGCCCCGCGAAGAACAGAAGCCACAGAAGCCGGAGGCGCAGGGCACAGAGCGGTGCAGGAGTCTGGAGGGAGGCGGAGGCCCGGTTGGGAGCGGGAGATCCGGAGTGGGGAGGAACGGAGGAGGGGCTGGGGGCGGGCCGGGGCCAGGGGCGGGGCGGGCCGCGATTGAAAGCGGCCGGGCGAGCAGGCGGACGGAGAGCACAGAGCTGCCGAGAGAGCGAGCCTGTGAGCGAGAGCTGGAACCCCGCGCCCCCGGCTCCTCTCCGTTTCTCTCCGCGCCGGAGTCGGGCGCGCCAGGTAGGGTAAGCCCGTGGTGCCGCGGCCGCCGCTGACCTTATAGATCCTGACCCCATGTCCCGGAGACCCACGGGCCCTCGAGTTCTGGGGCGCCCGAGCCGGGGCGTCCAGACAGAGCTCGCCAGGAGCTCTGGGAAGCGGAAAGACAGCCCCAGGCATCCCGCCTTTCTTCCCCAGAGAACGCACGCCCTGCATCACGCTCCTTCGTTCCTCCTCTCCTTCCATCCTTTGGTCTGTCTGTCTGTCTGTGCCTCTATCTTTGTGTCAGCCTATCGGACTCAATCACTCCTTGCCCGGATTTTGTGGCCCAGGCCCCCTTGCTGCCCACCTCTGGGATTGTGTCTCCCTTCAGGGTATCTTCCCTGTCTGAATTTTGGTCCTGGCCACCCCTGTGGGAGGCTTGTGGTCTTGACCGGTTTGGACCTCAGCCCCCCTCTGGGCCCCTTCCCTATCTGTGCTGGACTTCATGCTTGCTTCTCTCTCCTGATTGCCTGGTTGAGCTGCTGCTTTCCCGGTACCCACAGGATCCCAGTCTCCCTGCCCTGGCACCAGTGGGAGATTAACCCTGGAGACCTGAGGGGCAAAGTAAAGAACCCCAGTCTCTGTGGCCAGGACATGGGGTCCTTGAACTAGTGGCTCCCCTTATTCAGCCTCAGTTTCCTTATCCTAGCCTTCCCAAGCCTGCGTGATTGTGAGAGCCTGTGTCGGGTGGGCATCTGGGAGGGTAGCTGGGGCACAAATGATGAAGGGCAGAGTGGAAGAGGAAGGAGAGGTCCCTGAGGGCCAGGGCCACGGTGGACAGGATGGGGAGATGATGAGGATAGGGAGATTAGAGATGGTGACTCTCTGTGCTTGGTTCTGAGCTGAAGAAAACACAGGGGCATAAAGTCTCAAATGGCATTCTACACAGAGCTGTGTCCAAAAGTCTCACCCTGAGCACAGTTTTGAGATTTTGACCAGAGGAACTGACCCTGACCCTGGACACACACATATGCTCACATTGACTTTTCCTGTTAAGACCTGTGGCCACTTCAGTGTCCCTCCCTGGGGCCAACCTCTTCACCTTGCTGTCAAACTCCCAGGGCCTAGAGTCTCTATTACTTCCTCAGGGCTCTGGGGATGGCTTTTTAAGAACTAGAGGCTAGGACCCTTGGGTGCTCACCCTGGGTTCCAGGCTCTCTAGGAGTTGGAGATTACCCTTCGGAGATTTTTCCTTTCCTCTTCTGTGGTGGTTTCTCAGGCACAATGGCTCATCTCTGGAAATGCAAAGTTCAAGATACAGATTGGACCCCTCAGTTTATACTCTAACCTGGCCTCTGTTGCAAAGGGGTCCTGGGAGGTTTGTGCAAAGTCTTAGACACTCTGATTCACAGCAGGATTGGTGTTAGCTGGGTTCTCTTGACTTATGTCTAGGCCTCTACTCTCTGCCTCCCTCCCTCTCTACTGAGTATGGAATGGGCACAGAGGCCATCTACAGACCCAGATAGGGGCAAGGCTGAGAAACAGGCCAAGGGGTGTCTCCGGAGCTTCTCAGCTTAGTCAGTGATACCACTTCTCCCTGGCTCCCTGAGAAAATCCCTAGGTGAGGGAATTGGGGACAGCAGAGTCAGAAGGGGTAGGCACTCTCGGGTTCCACTTCTCCCTGTTTGTCTGTCTGTCTCTTTCTCTGCAGGAGCTGGGCCCCTTCTTATCTCTCTTCCTGCCTGTCCTTTCCTGGTCCCTGTTTTCTTCTTTCTTTGCCTTTGCTGCTTCTACCCTCATCCCCTGGAGGCCCAGGTCTGCTGGACCCATCCATCCCCTTTGGGACAATGGGATCACTGCTTGGGCTCCTGGCACTGCTTCTGCTATGGGGCGCTGTGGCTGAGGGCCCTGCCAAGAAGGTGCTGACCCTGGAGGGGGACCTGGTCCTGGGTGGGCTGTTCCCAGTACACCAGAAAGGCGGCCCGGCAGAGGAATGCGGGCCTGTCAATGAGCATCGTGGCATCCAGCGCCTGGAGGCCATGCTTTTTGCACTGGACCGCATCAACCGTGACCCACGCCTGCTGCCGGGTGTGCGCCTGGGTGCGCACATTCTTGACAGCTGCTCCAAGGACACACATGCCCTGGAGCAGGCACTCGACTT